CGGAGGGCGGAGAGAGCCTATCACGTGCCGCGGGACGGAACGGGGCGGGCCCCTGGTTGCGGGGTGTGCGGGACTCGCGGCGCGCAGGCGCCCTGGGGACCCGGTAGCGGCGGCGGCGGTGGCTTCGGCGACGGCAGTGGCGAAAGGGAGCCGGGTCCTGGGCCGCAGCGGGAGTCGGTGGCGGCGGCCATGGCGGCAGATGGAGAGCGATCACCGCTGCTCTCCGACCCCGTCGACGGTGGCGCCGGCGGCAATGGATTAGTAGGGCCGGGCGGGAGCGGGGCTGCGCCCGGCGGAGGCCTGACCCCTTCCGCACCACCTTATGGAGCCGGTAAACATGCCCCGCCCCAGGGTAAGCCGGGGCGGGTCCGCGGTGTGGCCGGGAGAGGCGGGCCGGGGGCGGGGCCGGGCTCCAGGTGCGCAGCGGTGGCACCTGTTACCCGCTGGGGCTTCCTGGCCACCCCCCACCCCCACCCCCGCAATCGCCACTGGGGCTTGGGGTGTGGAAGGGATTTCGGAGGAGGTCGGCGAGCGCTGCCGAGCTGGGTCGCAAGGCTTCGCGACCAGGAGCGGGACCAGGCGTGCCTTCATCCTGTGCAGCACGGCGGGGGCGTCTGCCCGAGATGCCAGCTTGTTTCCCCTCCCCTTCCTCTCCAGCGTTTCCCCCGTTCCCCGAGGGGCACCCAGCCGTGTTGCCTGGGGAGGACCCACCCCCCTACTCGCCCCTGACCAGCCCGGACAGTGGGAGTGCCCCCATGATCACTTGCCGAGTCTGCCAGTCTCTCATCAATGTGGAAGGCAAGATGCATCAGCATGTCGTCAAATGTGGCGTCTGCAATGAAGCCACTGTGAGTTTCACAGATTTATGAAATGGGCCCTGTTTCTTGGATCCTCTTTTTTTTTTTTTTTGAAGAGGGGGATGGGGGAACTGGGGCCACACCCAGCAGTTTTCAGGGCTTACTCCTGGCTCTGTGCCCAGGGGATCACTCCTGCCGGGTCTCAGGGGACAATATAGGGTGCCGGGGATGAGCCCTTGTTATCCTTGTGTAAGGGAGGCACCCTGGTCCCTGCACTAGCTCTTTGACCCTAGTAAAGATTTATTTATTTGTGTTTTGGGCTACACCCAGCTGTTCTTAGGGTTTACTCCTGGCCCTGCACTCAGTGATTACTGCTGGGGAGACGTGGGGGGTCCATTTGAGGGGCTGGGGTTTCTGAATCTACTGTACTCTCTGTAGCCCTTTAGGTCCTCATCTTTACCCACCCTTCCCCTTCTGGGGGGTAACCCACGTGCTTTAAGGAAACCCAAGTTTCAGTTCCAGCAGTCTCAGAGTCATTGCCCAATCAAATGTGCCCTGACTGCATTTTGTTTGCCAATTTCTTGCAGCAAGAAATTGGGGTGTGTGTGTGTGTGTATGTGTGTGTGTGTGTGTGTGTGTGTGTGTGTGTGTGTGTATGCACACCATTTTACTGTCCTGGCTTAAGACCTTACCTCTTTCATTTCACCTCCAAAGGTGTTTTGGAGGAATTGGGGAAGGATTGGGGGTAGAAGTGTGCTTACAGATGTTCCTGTTATTCTTTAGCCAATCAAGAATGCACCCCCTGGGAAAAAATATGTTCGCTGCCCCTGTAACTGTCTCCTTATATGCAAAGTGACTTCCCAACGGATTGCCTGCCCTCGGCCCTATTGGTAAGGTCTTAGGTCGGGAGTGGCATTAATGGACAAAAATTGAAAGCCAAAAACCAATGGTACTTATAGAGAATGTAGAAATGAGGGATTCTGGTGTTTGCTTAGAATAAAAGGCGAACAATTGTGCCTCTATATAGTCATCTTTCTGATTAAAAAAAAAAAGAGCAAGGCCTTTAGGAGAGAAAAGAGGGAGGTGGGGGCTGGTTGAGTGCTACTGAGGAAAAAGGGGAATTAGAAGCCTGTCGTGTAAGCAGTGTCTCTTCCTCTGCAGTGTAAGCAGGCCTCAACCCGACTGCACCCCTTTGGGGTAGGGTTGAGACAGAGTACCTTGAGGGTACAAATAGAGGAACTTAGGCAGAGAGTGAAGGGGGTGGGTGAAAGTAGCAGAGTATATGAGTCCTTAGGATTCAAAACTTCTTGTTAGTTTTTGGACCACACATGCCAGTGCTCAGGGCTTACTCCTGGCTCTGCACACAGGAATTATTCCTGGTTCTGGGGAATCATGTAAAATGCCGGGGATCAAACCCAGGTCAGCTGAGTGCAAGCACCTTAACTACTGTACTTAATCTCTCCAGCCCCAAGGATTCAAAACTGTTTTTGTTTATTTGGTTTTGTTTTGGTTTTTGGCCATGCCTGGCTATGTATAGGAGTTACCCTGGCTTTGCACACAGGAATTACTCACGGTGGTGCTCAGGAAAATACAGGATGTTGGGGTTCAGACTCGGGTCAGCCATTTGCAAGGCAAATGCGCTGTCCACTGTACTGTCACTCTGACTCCATATTCAAAACTTTTTTTTTAACTGTCTTTATCTTTTCTACAGCAAAAGAATCATCAATCTGGGGCCTGTTCACCCAGGACCTCTGAGTCCAGATCCGCAACCAATGGGAGTCAGGGTTATCTGTGGACATTGCAAGAATACTTTTCTGGTAAGGAGGTGCATTGGGAGGCTCCAAGCTGAGGGGTATGGGTGAGGAGTAGGCACTAGGAGTCATCAGGATTATATTTCTGGATTACAGCATATCCCAGCATCTATTCTGTGGGAACCTATTCCACACCTGCCCTCACACCGAAACCAAACAAACCCATTGTTTAAGATAATCTCTGCTTCTCTTTCTCTTTTTCTGTAGTGGACAGAGTTCACAGACCGAACCTTGGCGCGTTGCCCGCATTGCAGAAAAGTGTAAGTGGTTACAGAGTGTCATGGTTTATTGGGTAATATGTAGAGTCAAGACTTTATAGCCTTGCAAGCATCCCTTTGTTTGCCTTCTTGCAGGTCCTCTATTGGGCGCAGATATCCACGGAAGAGATGTGTCTGTTGCTTCTTGCTGGGCTTACTCTTGGCAGTCACTGCCACTGGCCTTGCTGTGAGTAATCAGGACTCATTCCTTCATTCTTGAGCCCCTCTCCTCCACAGGTTGACGCTTACCCCTCTTCCCCCTCTACACACACACACACACACACACACACACACACACACACACACTGATAGAAGCTGAGGGATTTTTGTCTTCTTTGTCTTGATTCAATGTATAGAAAGTTTTTGTTATTACTGTAGAAGTAAAAAGGAAGCTTTTTGCTTCTTCCTGCATTCTCCATTCTGCTGAGGATAAGTCATGGCAAAGTGCTAAATAAAGAGTTGATAGTTGGAAACCTGGCCCAATTGTCAGACAGTAAGAAAAACTGACATGGGGCCAGAGAGCTCGGTGGGCTAAGCATCTCATGAAGTTCCCTTTGATCCCTAGCACTGCATGGTCCCCCAAACACCGCTGGGACTTACCTCCCATACACAGAACCAGAAGTAGGGGCCAGATAGCACAGCAGGTAGGGCATTTACCTTGCACGAGTCTGACCTGGGTTCAATCCATATGGTCACCTGACCACCACCAGAAGTAATTCCTGAGTGCAGAGCCGGGAGTAACCCCAGAGCATTGCAGGGTGTGACCCAAAAAGCAAAAATATAAATTAAAAAAAAAAAAGAAGTAACCCCTGGGTACTGCTGGGTGTGGCTTTAAAGGGGGAAAAAAAACACTTGACAAATGGGGATTGTGTGGGTATGTTACTGTCCAGGGGAAAGGTACCCAATAACTGGGCCCTCAGAAAGGTCCTGAAGGGGACAACACTGGAGTAGGGAACAAGGCAGCTTGAGGTCTGTGTTATTTACGATAGCTCCTAGAAGTTGCTGTATCCATAGTGAACCCACCTTTCTTTTTCTTATTTATCAGTTTGGCACGTGGAAACATGCGCTACGATATGGAGGCATCTATGCAGCCTGGGCATTCGTCATCCTGTTGGCTGTGCTGTGTTTGGGCCGGGCCCTTTATTGGGCCTGTATGAAGGTCAGCCACCCTGTCCAGAACTACTCCTGAGCCTGATGACCCGCAGACTGTGCCTGGCCTCTCTGTGGTGGGGACCGTGACACTACAAAGGGAGCCGTGGTGAAAGGTTCCCTGGACTCCTCTAAGGGGAGCCAAGCAGCTGCCTGCCTTTTCCTGGGGAGAGGTGGGAAGGCACCATGCCTGCATCTAGGTTTGGGAAGGTAGAAAAGACTACTACTGGCCCTCTGCTTTCCTCCAAGGGTTGCTGTGTTTAGGGTGAAATAGGTGAAGTGTTGCCCCTAAACTTGGATGCTGAAAAGACGGTTTTAGACTCGTCCTTCCTGTATGCTCCCTGAGCCATTCCCGTCCCTTACACATTCCAGGGCATGGTGGGGGTGGGTAGCCCTGGGGGTTTCCCTCCCTCTTTGTGCACCCTTAGGACCTTGCTGCTGCTATTGCACTTCTCCAGGGGCTGGCTCTGGCCTTGGTACCCTCAGTCTCCTCTCCCCCCATTCTGTGTCCTGTGGGGGTGGGGTCAGCTGCTGCTCTGTACAGAACCACTGGAACTTACATGTATATAACTATTTAATGTGGGGTATGTTCCCCTAGTCCCGGGTCTGTGAATTCCTCCTTCCAACCTTGACACCCGCTAACTGGACTGGGTCCCGGGGTTGTGGTCTTGGGGGAGGTAGGGACTTCTCTGTGCTTGTAAATAAATAAGGTCATGACTCTACCCTTTTTCAGTTGTTAATCCTACATAAAGAGGAATTTGTAGGGGCCAGGGAGATAGCTCAAAAGGCTAGTGCATACTTTGCACGAAGACCAAGGTTTGACTGCTGACACTTGGAATACTGCCTAGAGATAAATCTACCTTTCCCCCCCCCACCCCCACCCCCACTCCTGTTGTCAGCTGTGGCCCCAAAATCAAAAGAAAAAAAGGGGGGAGGGTTAGGATTTAATATCCCCACAAAGGGTAGAGATAACAAAGACAGCACACTGAAACTATGGCTCTTTTATTTTCACGAGAATAGTTCAAAGGAAGAAGTAGCTTTTGGTGCAATGTTTAATAAACAAACCCTCAAAATACCAAAAAATTAAAATAAAAAAACACCCTTGAATTAAAGGATTAACTTGTCTGTCACTAGAAGCCTGGTTCAAAGGTTCACATTTTTATAAGGGAAATACAATGCAGATTTCTTTAGAAAGCAGTAAAGCAATTTGGGAATAAATTTAAAGCTAAGAGGTGTGGTGTGGATACAAGCATATTTCTCAGGGTCAAAGTGGTTTAGGGTAGGCATCACAGTGCTAGGTAGAGGGTAATAGGGCAGTGGTCACTGCCCATAGCCTTGGAACGAATCTTGCTGTCACACAAGGCAGGTAACAAAGAATGAGACAACAGGAAGTAGTCAAGACGCCAACCAACGTTTTTGGACCGAGCATTCATCATGTAAGTCCAAAAGGTGTAAGCATAAGCCTTGTCAGGGTAGAGGTGACGGAAGCTGTCAGCCAGAGGCACCGCCTGCAGGAGCTCTCCAAAGCCTTCACGTTCTTGGGGTGTGAAGCCAGCATTCTTTTTGTTTCCTTTGGGGTTGCGAAGGTCAATTTCTTCGTGAGCCACATTGAGGTCCCCACATAGCACAAGGGGCTTGTGGGAAGCCAAGCCTTTCAGGAACTTGCGAAAAGCTTCATCCCAGCGCTGTCGGTACTCTAGGCGCACCAGACCACGGCCTGCATTCGGTACATAGGCGGTTACCAGCACAAACGCCTCAAATTCAGCCACGATCACTCGGCCCTCCTGATCATGTTCTTCCTCACCTGCAGGAATAGAAACGGCAATGATGTGAAGTGAAAGCAAGAACGTACAGGAATGGAGAAGTGGGACAGAAACGGTATTCGCATTTGGTTTGGAAGAGCTCAGTATCAGGAAACAAGGTCTCACCAATGCCATAAGAGACTTTGATTGGGCACTGGCGACAGAGTAGGCCCACGCCACTGTACCCTTCCTTGTCTGTTGGGGCTGCCCAGTACTGATGTGATAGTTCAGGTAGCTCCTGAAGTTCAGCTGGTAGTTTGTTCTCTGAACATTTGGTTTCTTGGAGGCACAGAATATCGGGTGCTTCTTCCTTGACCCACTAGGAGTGAATCGAAAGGTAGACAAAAATAAAATTTAACAAACATTGAAGAATCTATGGCAGGTATTACAAACAGATTAGTCACAGTAGGAATATAGCACAGCGGGTAAGGCATTTGCCTTGCATGCAGCCAACATGGCTAACTCGAGTTCGATTTCTCCGCCCCTCTCGGAGAGCCCGGCAAGCTACCGGGAGTGTCTGGCAAGCTACCTGTGATGTATTCAATATGCCAAACACAGTAAGAAGAAGTCTCACAATTTGTTGTGAGATGTTATTGGTGCCCGCTCGAGCAAATCGATGAACAACGGGAGGACAGTTACAGCAATATTTATATAAAAATACAACCAACAATGGAGGAAGGTAAGAATTCCTAATTACATGCTACACCAAAGAGATTCAGTGTTTTTTCTATTGGTACTAGGGAACCAACAGATTTTTGAAGAAATAGCTATTGAAAAGATAATGCTGGAAGCAAAATGGAGGAAGTCAAGACATTTTTCCCCCAATAAGCTGGGGGTCTTTAACAAGATAAAGCAATGGAAACAAAGGAATGGGCATTTACACAATTGGTATACAATGGGCATTTACAAAGTATAATACCCCAACCTCAAAAAAGAGTCCCTACTTATACCCCTCAAAAAGAAAACACCTAAGTTTCTAAAAACTGAAAGAGAAAAAATGTGAGAAACCTCGAGATCATTTATTACTACAGAACTGTCTTCCCTTCCTTGAATTTCACTCACATCTAAACCCTTCTTCTTAATCCAGGCTCGAAGCCCATCCACATTCCAGGAGCAGATCTTGACCGAGGCTGATTTGCCACTGGGTGAGGTTTTCTGATCTGGCGGGTCCTCATAAAGGGCTGGTCCTTCTCCTGCTGCCTCTTTTTCATTTTTCTTTGCTCCCGCCTTACTCTTCTTGGCCTCTGGCTCTATAAAATGAATAGTATGCAGTGACAGAAATGACAGGTTGCAACTTTGAAGTTACGTTGCTAGGCCCACTGAGGGCCTTTCAGTTGCAGCAATCTTAACAAACTTGGCGAAAAGCACGAGTTGGCTTTACTTCCCGTTCGTGGAAAGCCTTCCTAAGTCCTCTCTCGCGGCCTCCCTTCGGGCCTTATAATAAACGCTCTTACCAGTCTTGGGTTCGTCTCCATCTTCTGCCACCGCTCCCTTTTTCCCTCGTTTCGGCATCGCGGTAATTAACGCCCTTCGGCACCTATTCCACGTCGCCCACCGAAACAGTTTTCTTAACGCGTTGTCTAAAGAGGCAAACAAGTCATAAAACCATCTATGGCTAGTGTAAAGATCCCTCCCTCAGGCACTCCGACGCCAGGTCCGGCCTTGGCAAACGTATCATCTCTCCATCTTGCCCCCGCCTCCACGCATCGCGGTCCTTCAACCCCTCACCCACACAACATGATCATTTCATAAAATCAGATGCCCTCTTTTGAGAGCTGCCCTCCAAATGAGAGGCTAAGTTAGGACTCCCGGTTAGCGATCACTGACTACGAGTCCAGCGAAACCACCTTAAGGCCCGAGAAAAGCAACCCTGGATCAGACCTGCTCAGGTCCCAAGCCTGGCTCCTCCTTTTACCCAAGCACAAAGAATCGAGCACGCTGTGTCTGCACGTGGGTAACTCGCGTGGTCACGTGAGCTGTGAACCGTGTCACGTGGTTGCGAAGTGCAGCGTGATTGGTCTTCCTAGCACCCCGTGATGGAGAGTTTCGACCTTCTCCGGGTCGTCAGGGGGACTGAAGGCCCCAACCCTCCATCTTAGGGCTGCCTATTTCGTGCCAGATTTTAATACCCATTTCAGCCATCGTGAGCCGGGAGCCCAAGGTCTGTGAAAGACCCGAAATAACACACGGGAGAATCCTGCACTGGGTCCTGGGATTGAGGCAGAGGCTCGGGATTGAGGCAGAGGCGCGAATAGGAAGGGAAAGCGTACACGCCAGTTCACTGTTTCTGGCAATTACGAGGACAGGCTCTGAAAGGGGCCTTGCTGGGTCGCCATGACGACGGGGGCGGGGCCGGCGAGTGCACCGCCCCAGGGAGTCCCCGTGCTTTGACTGTCTGGCTTTGCATCGCTCCTTGGCTTCCGTAGGCCGCTTGTTTCCCTCTGCGCTCGGGGATTCTGCGGCCCAGCACAAATCATTCAGCTCCTGCGTTGGGGCTAGGAGCCCTGTCGGCTTTTGCTCGCAGTCATGCCGGCGGTGCTGGGCTTTGAAGGCAGCGCCAACAAGATTGGTGTGGGTGTGGTGCGGGATGGCGAGGTGCTGGCGAATCCGCGGCGCACTTATGTCACGCCTCCAGGCACAGGTATGGGAGATGGGAGTGCACCCGTCTGCAGCGCATCCGGTGGGCACGGCATCCTCTACCGCCAGCTAAACCCTAGTGAAGCGGGACGCGCAGCGCGTGTTCCCGAGTGCCCGAGGTGATGGACAGTGTTTAAGTCATTAGGCTGGTGCATAGAAGACTCACAGACCTATGAGCCCTGTCTTCGGGATTCGTTCAGTTTTTATTCGGCCCTCTTTTGTGTGCTAGGCATCAGTTGGCAGCTGGATATAACTAGATGTTTGGGCCATTTTGATGTAATAAGCACCTTCGTAAATGCCTTAACATAAATGCAATCAAAATTATTGTAGTCTGAGGAGAGAGAACTGTGTAAAGATTCTTAACTTAGATGTTTGATTTGCAATAGACGTAATTTAGTTTTTATGATGCTGAATGCTTAGTACCTTACTTTTAAAGGTGGGAATAATACCCGAGGCCTGAAACTGACAGTACAGAGGGTAGGGCATGAGCGTTCAGAGCCAGGAGTAACCCTTGAGCATTACTAGGTGTGAATTCCTCCCTCCTTTCCCCTTCCCCCGCATAGAAAGTGGGAATAATACTGCTGTGTTGAGTCAAAGGTACCAGAAAAAATAGTTTATTTGTTGTGCTTTGGGAAGACGCCCAGTGGTGCTTGGGGGTTTGGGGTGGGGGCGGGGAATCATGCTTTTTGAGGGATCCATTTGGGTTTTCCGCATGCACTCTGTGCTTCTGCCTGCTAATCGGCTGTGCTCCGGGTTTATTTCTAGTTCCGTGCTCAGGGGTTATATAGACAACCATGTAGTATGAATGGAACCCCAATTGACTACATACAGAGCAAGCATTCTGTTCTCTGTTTCTCTGGCTCCCCAGATACACTTTTTTGGGGGAGTGGTCTGTACTACACCGGAGGATGGTCAGGGGTTACTCCTGGCTCTGCACTCAGGAATTACTTCTGGCGATGTATAGGGGACCATATGGGATGCTGGGGATCAAACCCCGCCGGCTTCATTGAGGGTAAACACCCTACCCACTGTACTGTTGCTCTGGCCCCCAAGACACACTTTTTAATAAAAGTTACTTATAAGCTATTATGTCTTGCCTGCGTGCTCCAAACACCTGTACCTGACTTGTATGTACATGAAAACATTCCGTGACAGGTGGTATAGGGATAGGCCACTCATTAAGAATATATGGGATGAGGGGAATATAAATTGGGGCTAAAGAGATAGTGCAGTGGGTAAAGTGCTTGCCTTGGACATGGCTGACCTGGGTTTGATTTCTAGCATCTCGTATGATCCTCGGAGCATTGTTAGGGGTAATTCCTGAGTGCAGAACCAGAAGAAATTTATGAACATTTCCAGATGTGGCCTAAAAACCAAAAAGACAATTTATATGTTTGTTGAACTGGAGTGATAGTACAACTGGTAGGACAGTTGGATTGCACATGGCCGACCTGGGTTCGATCCCTAGCATTCCAAATAGTCCCCTGCACCACACCAGGAGTAAGCCCTGAGTACTGTTGGATATGGCCCCAAAACACCAAGAAAAGAATATATATGTTTGTGGAATATTCACTCTTAGGCCACGTTGGCAGCAGGAATACCAAGATAATAGCCAAGGCTTAGAGATACTCATGGTTAAAGTAGGGAAATTGCTAAAAATTGTAAGGTAGTTGTTATATGTTAAATACAGTGGTTAAATTTAACAGTGCGATTGTGTAAAGGCTTCGATACCAGAAATCACCAAAGGATATGGGGTTTCTTTGGTCATTTTGTGGGGAGGATGGGATAGGGCCACACCCAACAGTACTCAGGAACCACCTTTTACTAAGATCAGACCTGGACTTTCTTTATGCAAAGCATAAAGACTTTTATGAGTTGAGTGCTTTGACTCTGGAGCTACCTCTCAAGTCTTCACTAAAGGGTATAAAGTAGGTATGAGTCGTGAAGGCTTTATGGGAGTTGGATGTGAAGAAGGGTATTTCAGAGAGCTGTTCATTTAGGCTGGGAAGATAGGAAAGATAGTATTAGAAAAATTGATTAGAAACTTGAGGAGAGCAAAATACTCTTCTATAGTATGAAAATGCATTTTAAAATAATTATTATTTTTATTTCTACCTTTGCTATAGAAAAACCCTGTGAACTTTGTTCTGTCGTTGTTTCTCAGGATTCCTACCAGGTGACACTGCCAGGCACCACCGAGCTGTTATCTTGGACCTGCTGGAGGAGGCTTTAACAGAATCTGGATTAAAGCCCCAGGATATAGATTGCATTGCTTTTACCAAAGGTATGCAGGGACTGGAGCCAGCAGTGGGGAAATAAATCTGGAGCAGCCAGGCAAGATTTTAAAAAATTGTGCTTGGGTCAGAGTGATAGTACAGTGGATAGGCCACAGTGGATAGGCCTTGCACGAAACAGACCTGGGTTCAATTCCTCAATACCCCATATAGTTTCCTGAGCTGGTCAGGAGTGATCTTTGAGCGCAGAACCAGGAGAAAGCCCTGAGCAGCTCTAGTGTGGCCCAAATAAATAGATAAAAAGCTTGTGCTTTGCTTCTACCTGTATCTCTGTTCTACCTCTTACAGCCTCTGCTTCCCCCAATTCTGTTTTTCCCAGTATCAAGGAATAGGATTCTAAGTCTTGTTTCTATGTGACCAGGGCCTGGCATGGGTGCTCCACTGGCTGCTGTGGCTGTTGTTGCTCGTACTGTCGCCCAGCTGTGGAATAAGCCGTTGCTGGGTGTGAACCACTGCATAGGCCACATTGAGATGGGCCGCCTCATCACCGGAGCAACCAGCCCCACTGTACTGTATGTCAGTGGTGGAAACACGCAGGTATTTAGAGTGATCCTTCATTCCTCTGTGTCATGGTAATTGTACCAGCAACTTCCATAGCCTACCTCAGTGGCGGAAATTGTAGGAACAAAACAGGGCTCCTCTGAACTAAAATGTTTGACCCTAAAATATCCACAAAGTTTGTAATATTGCACATTTGGGAAGGATAAGGAGAATGTTAAATACTTAATGTCAGTGTTCATTAAGATTAGTGATCTCCAGTTTTGGAGAAGCAAAGTGGGAAGGATTGATACCTTCAGAATTCTTTGAAGGATTTTCACCTTGATTATTTGGAAACTTATTTTTCCTATAAATCTTAGCAGTTGAAACTGAGGGACACTGCTCAGTTTATTTCTATAGGACAACTGTATTCTTTTTGTGCTAAATATATAGAAGTTACTATAAGTATGAAAAACGTGCATCATTTGAGCAATGCTCCACAAATAGAAGAAGGTATTTTAAGTTTATAGGTGAAGTGAGAGTTGTTTGGAATCTCTTTTAAATTGTGATGGAAGAACTTAAATTTTTGTCTTCCTTTGCCATAGAGTGTCTAGTGAGTATATTGTCAAAACTAATTACTGTCTGGGATGAGGAGATGGCTCAAAGAACTGAGTGCATGCTTTACCTAGGGGAGGCCCATGTTCCAAACCTCATTCATACTACATAATCCCCCGAGCACCGCCAAGAGTGACTTTCCAGTACTAAGCCAAAGGAGTTCATGACTTCCATTGGATGTTACAGAAACCCCAAAATTAAGACAGTAAAGATGAGAGGCCAAAGAGATAGAGTAACAGGTAAGGCACTTGTCTTGCACACAGCCACCTAGTTCCATCCCTGTCACCACATATGGTCCCTTGAGCCCTGCCAGGATTGATACTTGAGTACAGAACCAGGAGCATTACCAAGTATGGCTCCCCTCCACCTTACTCTCTCCCCTGACCCCCTCCCCCCCCAAGTACACATGGGTACACATTCCCTTGAAATTGCCAGGGGGGTGGTTAGCAGCTCAAGAACAAAGTTCCTACAAGATTAGGGCCATGGGGAGTGGAAAGTAGCAGTGGAAATTACAAGGGTTAATGAATATCAATGATTTTTTTTTCTTTTCCCCTATTGTTTCTCTTTTCTTGGTGGGGGGGTGGGGGGGTATGGGGAGGCACACCCAGCAGGCTCAGCAGCTGTTTTTGGCTCTCTGCTCAGGAGTGACCCCTGGCAGTGCTTAAGGACCATATTTGGTACCAGGGACCAAACCATTAAACCAGGGCAAGCACCATAACCCCTGTACTATATCTCAAGTCCCACCTCTGAGATGTGAGCTTATATAAACATGGAAGATAGTTGTGTAGAGGGGAATGGATAACAGGTATCAGGTAAAATGATTTTTTCCCAAACACACTCCCTGCCTAAAACACACACACACAGACACACACATACACACACGCACACACAAACTTTATTTTTTAAAAATTCTATTTATTTTTGTCTTTTTGTGTCACATCCTGTGATTCTCAGGGGTTACTCTTGGCTCTGCACTAAGTAATTACTCCTGAAGGTGCTCAGTAGAACATATGGGATACTGGAGATTGAACCTGGGTCAGCCAAATGCAGGGCAAACCTCTTAACCCACTGAACTATTGTTTTGACCTGGTCCCTTCCCCTTTTGTTGCAGGCCTTTTGACAGCAGAATAAGATCTTTGTTGGGATGCAAGAAATCCCTTACAGCACAGGAAGGGAAAGGACCTATTTTGCTATCCAGGAAATACTTGATCTCAGAAATAGGGAATATATGTGTCAATAGTGATAAGTATTATCTGGTAGAAGTTTGAAGAATGGACATAAGTTGATTGTCGTACTGATTGGGTAGGATATTAATTTGATCCAGTGTAGGATTTTTTTAGTTTTTTTTAGTTCTCAGTGTCATCTTGTTTTCAAATACCACTGGCCTGGAAATACAGTTTAGGACTCTGGCTTCCTGTCTCCAACCAGGAAAGCCTGTCTCTTAGTCCAAAGTAGCCAGACCAACCTTTAAGGAAAATACCTGGAACCTCCATGCTAGAAAAATGTGTTTGAAATGACAGTTTGCTAAAGAATCTGTTTTAGGAGGTTCAGGGTATCTACCAGGCATCTCAGATACAAACTATTTAAAAAAGAAAAATTCCCCATTTAGGATTTGGGAAAGTACTTTTTTCAATTTCTTGCTGGAATCTTTGGCAGCCATTTTGCTCCTTGGCTGTGTTCTTCCCCAAAGCGAAATACTCCTCTTTGCAGACTTGAGATTTCATGGACACCCTCATCACTCTTAGGTGATTGCATATTCAGAACATCGTTACCGCATCTTTGGGGAAACCATCGATATTGCTGTGGGTAACTGTCTGGATCGGTTTGCTCGAGTGCTAAAGGTAAGACTTCGGGGCTGCAGAGAACATAAGAATGGGCAAATTTCTGGGGGCATGGAAGTACAGAGAGAAAGCAGTAACTCAGCTTCTTATGTTGCCTTTTTTTCTGAACTTATCCCCCCCCCCCTTTTTTTTTCTTTTTGGGTCATACCTGCTGATGCACAGGGGTTACTTCTGGCTCTGCACTCAGGAATTACTCCTGGTGGTTCTCGGGGGACCATATGGGATGCTGGGAATCGAACCCGAGTCAGCCGCGTGCAAGGCAAACCCCATACTTGCTGTACTATAGCTCCAGCACCATCCTTACTATTTTTCTGCTAGATTTCCAATGACCCGAGTCCAGGCTACAACATTGAACAGATGGCAAAGCGGTAAGAGACGTCAGTGGGAGGAGCCCAACTGGTGCTTCTTCCAGGAATCCCCTCATTCTGCCTAGGAGGTGTGGGTGGGGCTGTGAAGAGTGAGCAGCTGGCTCCCCATCGCTCCTCATGGACTCCCTCCCATATAGAGGCAAGAAGCTGGTTGAACTGCCCTACACTGTAAAGGGGATGGACGTTTCATTCTCAGGGATCCTGTCTTTCATTGAGGTGAGTGTGGGAGAAGTGAGATGATGGGCACTTTTAAGCTTTTTAACAAAACATTTTTTTTTTCTGCCCAACCTTGTATTGCATGCAGGTAGTATAGTACTGGCTCATTAATGCTGGGTATGAGATTATTTAGCAAATATTTATTGAACAGCTTTCATTTGCTGATGCTGTTTTAGGTAACAGTGATATAGTGTGGAACGAAATAAAAATCCTTGGAGCTGGGATTCCAATGGGAAGATAAAGAACACTCTCCCCTCCCCACAAAAATAATAAAGCACATGCTTTGTATGTATAAGGCCTAGGGTTTGGTCCTGACGTTAGAAAAAAGATGAAAGGGGAAAGTAATAAAACGTAAGTATCGATTAAGTGCATTGGAGAAGGATTAAGCAGGGTCAGGGGTAGAGGATGTGGCAGGGTAGCCGCTCCTAGTTACTGATGCTTGACTGAGTGTGGTTGAAGGGCAGAGTGTTGTGTGAGAGCTGGTGTTATGGTTGAGCACAGTGGTCCTCCGAGAGTCATAACTTTTGCTCTCTAGCCATCCCCAAACCACTCTCCATGTTTTCCTCGTTTAATCATAGGACGTAGCTCAGCGGATGCTGGCCACAGGCGAGTGCACTCCTGAGGATCTGTGTTTTTCCCTGCAGGTAATGGAATAAAAAATCAGGCGCTGGGAGTCGGGGCTGGAGGAACTTATATATAAAAGATCAGAGGTCATATGGGATCCCCTTTGATGTCTTTGCCTTGTCTGTTCCCCCCAGGAAACGGTGTTTGCTATGCTGGTAGAGATCACAGAGCGAGCCATGGCCCACTGTGGATCCCGGGAGGCCCTCATCGTGGGAGGTGTGGGATGTATGTATCCTTGAGCTCCGCTCGTCTCTCTTGCTTGTGCACATGTATCTTCTCCTGACACTTGAAATCTCTAAGTTCTAGAAAAATAGTGTGTGTCGGTTGTAGTCATATGCTTTTTAATTATCTTCTACTAGCTCCCTACTGCTTTTTCCTAAGTAAACATGCGTGAGGTATATAGCTGGACCCTGGAGAGGGCTAAAATCTTCTTTCCTCATCATAGGTAATGTGCGGCTACAGGAAATGATGCAAATAATGTGCCAGGAACGTGGAGCCCAGCTATTTGCCACAGATGAGAGGTAAAGGCAGTCCTACACACACCACTCCCCTCCCCCCGCCTCCTATCCCCCATGCATCAAAGTGTCTAAACACTCAGGTATCAAATTTTACGCCTATTCCTTCTCAGATTCTGTATTGACAATGGAGCAATGATAGCCCAGGCTGGCTGGGAGATGTTTCAGGCTGGACTTACAACCCCCCTTAGTGATTCTGGGATCACCCAGAGGTAAGTGCCCCCATGGTGGGAGGTGGGATAGATAGGATTATATGGGAAATGGGCAGAAATCAGCAGGGACAAAAGTCCAGAATCATGAGGGCAGAGAAAAAGGGAAGGTGCTGGGGGATAATCATCAAGGTTTTTTTTTTTTTTTCTTTTTTACAGGTATCGGACAGATGAAGTAGAAGTGACCTGGAGGGATTAGAATGTTAGCAGGATGGGAGCTGAGAGTGCCCTTGGGGGAGCCCAAGGGATTCTGGGCCTTAACCTCAGTCCTGACATGGGAATCTGCTCTTCATCAGTTGGTTGATAACCTGACAATAAAATATTTTTTGTATATTGGTGATCAGCCTTTGTTGCTCAGGTCTAATACAGCGTGGGTACTGGATACATTCTTGTGATGGAATGAGGTCAGGGTCAGAGCAGTGCTCACTGTCTAGGTAGGCTTGGGACTATTGCTCTGAGCTAAAACTGAAGGGATATTTTAGGTACATTCCTTGATTAATAGCACGACCAGTACTACTGTAGTATTTGTATTGTATTAATCACTTTATATTATTGCCATTAATTAAATTCTTTGAAATTTAATATTTGAAGTAGATGATTGGGAATTCCTTTAGAATAGCCTGGAGACGATGTCTGATTTTGTGTTAATGTGTAACTCAAGGAAAATCCCACTAGCCTCTGTATTCCATTGTCTGGTTCAAGGTCGGGACCCAAATTCAACCTTCAGAACTAACCTCATCATGCCTTTTATCCTGTTTAAATCATTCATCATGAAAAATTCTGAACTACCAAGTTACCTCTCCTCTTTTACACTACTAATTCACCTCTATTTTGGTTCCCGTCTCCCTCTTCCACCTCCTAAAATTCTTAAATCCCCCAATCCTCAGTTTCCCTTCACATTCCTGCTCTGAGCTGTTTTCTCCTATAATCTCTACTGATGGTGTTTTCCTTCCAGATGTATTGTGCTACTGAGCCTAGAGGCAATTCTTATTTTCTCTGATACCATTTCACTGGTCTCTGATGCAGTGGTTTTCCACCTTTCACACCTGCAGATCAGTACCAGCCCGTGGGCTAATGGTTGGGAACCATCATTCAAACATCATTCTAACACCATCTTCAGCTCTGAAACACTTTAGGTTTGACTGTTAAAACCACTCATGTTCAAATGATTTCAGTGTCCATGTAGGTCATTCTAATACTCTCTGGTTTTAGTTCCTTGTATCTTCAATTCAGCCACTCATTCCCTTGGTCATATTCTATACCTACAACTCCAGTTCTCAATCTCAGGTGTCCTACAAAACCTGTCTTTCTGGTTCATTCCTTTTAGTACATTCAGTCCAGCCATTTATCCATTTACCAGGACTTGGAGTCAGTTCATTTCTACTGACTTCATTGCCCACTTCTCTTCATTTCCCTCCTCTAGCTAACTCCCCATTATAAGTACTTGATTGTGAAAACCACCTTCTTTGCCTTTCTTGCTTTTCATGTACTTGTCTCTACCTAGACCTTTGCAACTGAAAGGGCTAGCTAGAATTATCCTGGTTGACTTTTAAACTCATCATGAAACTTAGCTGGATGCTTTGTGCTTCCTAGCAGTATTAATCAGCTCTTTCATTCGCCCTCATTTCTGATACTTTGCATACCTGAGTTCTCAAATTTCTAACACCATCCACCCACCCTCTTGGTTCCTGTTTCAAGGGAAATAGATGCTCAGAAAGTTTGTACAGGCTCCTTCTTCTCCCCCTATACTACATCTGCCAACATTCCAACATCTGTACCTCATATCCTCTGCTTTCTATGCTATTACTGTAAACCAGTGTTCCCAACCAGGACTAGTTTTATTCCCTGGAGGAAATTTGGTTGTCACAACTGGGAGACAGTACCACAGGGTTGAAGCTAGGGATGCTGCAACATACCCTGCTGTACACAGAGCAGCTTGTTACAATAAAATCTGGGCTAAAATGCATGAATGTCATTTTAGAAACAAATTACACTCAGGCCTAAATTCTCCAGTAGATGCCATCTGTTGTTTTGGGCCATCTACCAACAATCTCCCCTGTATGAGTCAGTATTTCTCTTCTAGCTCTTCTGCATCAACACACAAAAACACTTTTTCACATGAGTATATGAAACTCAATCCCATTTCTTCCCATTTTTTGCCGTTTTTCCTGCTTCACCGTATAGAAGTACTGAAGAGCCAGTTTGTTTCTCATCAGGCCACTGTTCTTGTCATTGTCACCACTTACTTGCACATGCTAAGCCTAAAGGCAAAATTCTGCATCATCTTACTACCCTGTCTGCCCTTTGATACTGCCTATTTGAAACATTTCCTTCACTTGACTTTTGAACAGTCTCAGGTTTGCTCTATCATATTCCACTGCTTATCTTTGTTGGTTTTTCTTCATCCCTTCAACCTGTTTTCCACACAAGCTTCCCTAGTCACATCTACAATTAGTGATTTCATCCAGTGTTAAACATTCAAACACTTTCAATAAGAATCTGTAGCTCCAACCTGGACTTTAATCGTGAATATCTAGCTGCTCAGTCAACTAATTTTCTGCTCAATTTAACTGCTATACTTTTTCCAATTTCAGATAATGGAACTCCATCTTTTTTTATTTCGGGAGAGGTGTTGGTGTTTGGGTCACCTTTTGCAGTGCTCAGGCTACTCTTGATATTGTGCTCAGGAGTGACCCCTTGTGGTGCTTATGGTTTACTCCTCGTGCTTATGGTATTCCTGATAGCAGGTGTGTTCCTGATATTGGATATTAGGTTACCCATATGGCAGTGCCAGGGATTGAACTGGAGTCAGCTGCATTCAAGGTTAACTCCTTCTCTACTATATAATCTCTCTGGCCCTGAGAACTCTTGCATTAAATTGTCTATGATGGGCTAGAGCGAAAGTACAGCAGGCAAGTCACTGGCCTTGCTCACGGCCAACCTGGGTTTGATCCCTGGCACCATATATTGGCCTGCCAAACCCTAAAGGACTGATTCCTGAACACAGAACTAGGAGTAAGTCCTGAGCACCACTGGTTATGCCTCCCCACCAAAATACATAATTCATGGCAAACAATTTTATCTATTGACACTTCTCTTTTATCTCCAGTTCATCAAATTGAACTGTACTGATTTGACATTCAGAATATATCCAGAATTCCATTTCTCCTCACCGCTTCCCTAGAGCAAAGTTTTCTATCTGCAGTTACTGCGGTTGCAGATATTACCAGTGTCATTGCCTGCTTACCAGGGTGGACTGTGTTATGCTGGTAGCCAGGTAATGTCACTCTTCTGCTCACAACCTCTGTTTTCCTATATTAGAGTGAATCTCAGACTCTTCCTGGGGCATCAGTAAACCTCCATAATGGGCTGCTGCTCTTTCCCCGCTTTCTGCCTTGACCCCACTTTCTGCTGCTCTTCTTCTCTTGGCCAACATTAAACATTTATGGTATGGGCCCTCCAGGGAATATTTACAAGTTACACTTGTTCTCTCTCTGCCTGGAAGCACTTTCCCCAAGTACTACTTCAAAATCATTTTTGTTTCATTTTTTGTTTTGCAGAGTGGGGGGCAGGGAGTGGGTTGGGGGAGGGGGAGGAAGGATCATTCCAGATTCTCCTTAAATAGCACTCCTACATGCAAAGCATGCACTCCTGTAGAAGTGGACTCATTTTTTATTTTCACCTCTATCTTCTTCTGGAGTCTGAGAAAGGCAGAATCCAGGCCTCCAGGTCACTCTGCACAGAGAGCAGGAGTGTAAGGCCTTACCAGCTGTGCCAGAAATACCCAGTACAACAGAGTGCTCAGGGGATACATGCTGGGAATTGAACTGGGATCAATTGCGTACAAAGTAAGTTCCTTATGACCCATACTATCTCCCTGGTCCCCAAGAGGAAAATGTGATTCAGATGCAAAGCAAATACAGGCAAGAAGGGATCCTTTGGAGACAGCTGATTAAAGGTTTTGGGAAAAAAGCAAAATTCTATCATTGGTGAAGAAAAAAGAAGATAGGTTGTATTCTCTGCCTTTTGGACACTTCACCATGAGGTCACTAGAGAAATGAATTTTTATTGACTGATTTTTGGGGGCCTATCAAGTGGTGCTCAGGAGACCACCAGGTCCCACTGGTGATTCTCAGCCAATCAGACCAGTGGTTTCATGCCCAGACCCTGCAGTGCTGGGGCTACCCAAACCACACCCACTCATGCTCTGGGCCTCAAAGACTGCACCAGGTGGTACTTGGAGGACCATTTGATGGATGCCAGGAATCAAATCCTGGTTGGATGCCTGTGCTCTAACTCCTGCACTATCTCCAGCCATGTGTATTTTTTTCTTTTTGGGGGGTGGCATACCCAGCTGTGCTTGGGGACCACTCCTGGTGATGCTCAGGAGACCACATGGGGTTCTGGGGATAGAACTCATGTCAGCCACATGCAAAGCAGGTGCCCTACCTACTGTTTTATCTCTCTGGCCCCTTTTATTTACTTTTTGTTGCCTTTTGGTGTGTGGAATTGAGCCCAGATTTCATGTAAATAAGACATGCACTTATCCCTGTTATGAACAGATTATGAGCAAAACTGTCAGCCCTACCCCAGAAATATTAATTCAGAAGAATAACCCAGTTGCCAAGGAGACAGAAAACATATTTTAAAGAAGACACAAAGGGAGGGGGGCTATAGAGTGATAGTGGGTAGGGTATTTGCCTTGCATTTGGCTCACCCAGATTTGATCCCCAGCATCCTTTATGGTACCCGAGCACCGCCAGGAGTGAGTGCAGAGTTAGGAGTAACACCTGAGCACCACCAGGTGTGACCCCCAAAAGACAAAAAATAGATAAAGACTCAGGGTGAAGGCTGGAGAGATACTCTTGTGGGTAAGATACTTGTGTATTTGCTTTGCACAAGTCTGATCTGGGTTTGATTCCCAGGATTCCAAATAGTACCTCCAGGTATGATCCTTGAGCTCAGAGCCAGGAGTAAGCCCTGAGCACTGTTAGGTATGCTCCCCCCCCCCAGAATAAAACCCTCAATTTTGGGGCTGGAGCAATAGTACAGTGGGTAGGGCTATTACCTTTCACATAACCTACTGAGATTTGATCTCCAGCACCCCAAATGGTCTCCTGAGCCCACCAGAGTGATTCCTGAATTCAGAGCCAGAAATAAGCCCTGAGCGCCATCAGCTGTACCCCTCCCCCCATTTATTTTCTTAAATCTATAAAAATAGGGTTAGAGAGCTCAATGGATTGAACACATGCTTGGCATGTGCGGAGGCCCAGTTTTGGTGCTCAGCACTGCATGGTCACCTGAGCACCATTAGGAAAAATGATCATTGAGCAGAAAGTAGCCCCTGAGCACTGGTAGTGTGACCCCAAAACAAAAACAGTGAAACAAACAAAACCTAACAGCATCTCATGCACGTTTACTACTGAACTACATCCCTGGCCTCCAAACCTGCTTCATAGACCACATCATAGTGAGACCATCTTTTCCACGGAAAATACTTACAACATAAAAGAAGAGAGAAAAGATGAGGGGCTGAGGAGTGTCTTCTGGCTGGCTTCTTCCACTCAGCCCAAATCATGTATCACTGTTTGCAGTTAAGAACGGTGATTTAAAATGAACAGAAACGTGGCAGGGGGGGATGGGGGGATGGGGGGGGTGGGGGGGGAGGGATATTATCCTGGTGGTGGAAAATGGGCACTGGTGGAGGGATGGGTATTTGATCATGGTATGACCGAAATCCAAGCACAAAAATTTGTAAATCTACAACTGTACCTCATGGTGTTTCACTAATAAAGGTAAGGTAAAGGCCCTCCCGTTGATCGTTGATTTGCTCGAGCGGGCCCAGTAACGTCTCCATTGGAGACTTTGTTGTTACTGTGTCTGGCATATCGAATACTCTCGGTAGCTTGCCGGGCTCTCTGAGAGGGGCGGAGGAATCGAACTCGGGTCAGCCATGTTGGCCGCTTGTAAGGCAAACGCCCTACCCGCTGTGCTATCGCTCCAGCCCACTAATAATAAAAACTAATAATAATAAAAAAATGAACAGAAACTCTCTCAAAGAGGAAATTCGAATGGCTAAAAGGCACATGACAAAATGCTCTACATCATTACTCATCAGGGAGATGCAGATCAAAACCACAATGAGATATCATCTCACACCACAGAGATTGGCCCACATCCAAAAGAACGGGTGCTGGCGCAGATGTGGCGAGAAGGGGACCCTCCTTCATTGCTGGTGGGAATGCCTACTGGTTCAGCCCTTTTGGAAAACAGTATGGACAATTCTCAAAAAGTTAGAAATTGAGCTCCCATTTGACCCAGCAATACCACTTCTGGGAATATATCCCAGAGAGGCAAAAAAGTATAGTCGAAGTGACATCTGCACTTGTTTGTTCATTGCAGCACTCTTTACAATAGCTAGAGTCTGGAAGAAACCTGAGTGCCTGAGAACAGATGACTGGTTAAAGAAACTTTGGTACATCTACACAGTGAAGTACTATGTAGCTGTTAGAAAAGATGAAGTCATGAAATTTACATACAAGTGGTACTACATGGAAAGCATCATGCTAAGCGAAATGAGTCAGAAAGAGAGGAATAGATGTAGAAAGATTGCATTCAGCTGGGGAACATAAAGTAACAAAATAGGAGACTAGCACCCAAGAATAGCCAAGATAAGTACCAGGAGGTTTACTCCATGGTTTGGAGGCCAGTCACACATGCTAGGGGAGAAAGGGAGCTCAGATAGAGAAGGGAGCACCAAATAAAGGGTATTGGGAGGATCCTCCCAGGATAGGAGAAGCATGCTGAAAGTAGACTATAGACCGAACATGATTGCCACTCAATGCCTCTTTTGCAAACCAAAGCACCCAAAAGCAGAGAGAACAAAAGGGAATGCCCTGCCACAGAGGCAGGGTGGGATGGGGGAGATGGGGGGGTGGGAGGGAACTGGGATCCGTGGTGGTGGAAAATGGCACTGGTGGAGGGATGGGTACTTAATCGTTGTATAATTGAAACCCAAGCACAAAAATTTGTAAGTCTTCAACTGTATCTCTTGGTTTGTCACTAATAAAAATTAAAAAAAAAAAAAAAAGAACAGTGATTTTGTTCTTGCTGGGAAGACTAAGAGACTTGTTGTACATTAGCCAACCCAGAGACTTAGGGTACCCTGGATGGTCAATTTATAAATGGCAAACAGATTTTGAAGCCAGACTTTTTCTGTGGCTAATCATGTCCCTGGCTCCCAGAGGAGGTGCCATTCTGAGGCACTCATTCCCTTCAACACATTTCTGAGCCAGCTCCCCATTCTTTTATGAAACCCTAGAGAAGGCAGTGAAAGTGTATGGGGGTGGGGAGAGGGGAGTTCCCAGCAGGTAGTTGATAGGGAAAGATCAGACAGAAGCAAATTATTTGAATTTGAACTACCACCGATAACAAAAGAAGGGGGGGTATGAGAGTGGAAGGGTAGCGCTGTCGTCCTCGCTCTCCTTAGCTCATCTCCATTCTCCACTCTAGTTCCTTCTGCCAGGAGCCCTTTCTGCAGAACCCACACTCACCCTCCACTCTTCCTGCCTCAAGTTCCTGGGGTCCGCGCAGCACTGGCTTCACCGATGCGTCCGAACCCGTGCAAAGAAGCGCAGCCTTTCTGGTCCCACTCTCCCCCGGGGCTCCCCGCAGCCTCCTGGGGGTCCCAATTCACCCCTATCGGCTCCCCGCAACCTTCTCTGCGTCCCATTTCGCCTCGCTCAGCAGGAGGAGCGGGACATGACCTACAGGGTGTGTGTTTGTGGTAGTGGTGGGGCGGGGCGGGGGGTAGATGCTGGTGGCGGAGGTGGTGGTGGAGGTCATCCCGGGACGTCTCGTCCCTCCCCACCCGGACGATCGCCGGGGGATTGGATGTCGCAGTTCGGGCCCCGGGAGCCCAGCCCCTGGCCCGCGGCTCAGGGTATAATTAGCCGCGCGCCACTGCCACTGTCGGCGACGTGGGGGTGCTGGACGTCGGGACACGCGAACCCGCGCGCAGAGCAGGAGAGCGGGAGCTGCTGCACCCCCGGAGGGTGACTATGGGGATGGGGACAGGGCTGGAGTTCCGGGGGACCCGAGCGTGCTAAGGAGCCCGGTCCGCAAGCGCCGCACAGCCCGGCATGCCAGCTCCCGCCTTGTTTTCAGAGCCCGCGACTAACCTTTGGCTGGGGGCCGCTCTGGGGATGCGGGGGAGTCCCCAGTCTGACCCCCCTCTTCTCTTTCCTCCGTTCCCCCCCACCCCCCGCCCTTGCAACAAGTCCAGCGGACCTGGGCCATGCGCGTCTCCACGCACCGCCCCTCGGACCCGGGACGCGCGTCCCTCCCCGCCCCGAAGGACAGCCTGGACCTGCCTTTACCTACTCGCAGAAGCCCCTCCTGGCCTCCGTCCCCGGACGACGACCCCGGCCTGCCTCCCTTCCCTCGGGAAGAGCCTGGCCCCAAGTCCATGGCACCGGGATCCCTGCCCTCTCCAGCTTTGACGCTGGAGGAAGACGAGGACAGAGATGAGGACGAGGGGGGCGCGGGCGTGGCGGAGCCCGAGGGGCTGCGCAGCGAGGAGCACCCCAGCCAGTTCTTCGCCGAAGCCCAGAGGCTGCGTGAGCAGAGGCTGCTGCTGGACGAGGAGGTGTCCGTCGGGGGGCGAGTATACGGGGTGCATAGAGTGATTCTGGCCGCGGTGAGCAGCCTGTTCAGAGACAGGCTGCTGGGAGACGGAGGACCGCGAGCCCCCTTAAACCTTGACGTGGCCCCCAGAGCCTGGGAGGCCGTGGTGACCTTTGCGTACGAGGGGGTGCTGGGCCCGGCCCCGCCGAGAGATGTGCTGCTGGCGGCCGAGGCTCTGGGGGCGCCCCGGGTGAAGGCCGCGGCGCAGCGGGGCTGCAAGGCCATCGGAAGCGCCAGGGACGAGGACCAGCAGCGCAGCCAGGCCGAGGAGCTGAGGGAGAGCCTGCGCAGCATCGAGCTCCTGTACCAGGAGGGCGTCGGGTGCGACCTGGAATTGGAGGCTGCGGGCTGCAGGCTGCGGGGTGAGGGCGTGTGGGGCGCTCCCTGACTACAGGTGCATAAGTCACCGGAATGCGGGGTGGGGAGGGGGGTGCAAGCAGCAGGAGGCTTGCACCTTGACGCAGTGGTTTCTAGCCTTGGGTGCCTCCCCTGACCCACTAAGAAGAGGGCATGCGCAGTTGAGTTGTTTTCCTGGGCAGTCTGTCCTGACAGACTTAAGCTGACCCTCTGCCCTCTGGCTTTGCCTGTGCCCAGTGACAAGGAGATTATAGCCAGCTAGCTGATGCCAAGGGTTCCGGCATGCCAGCAAAACAAGCAGAAAGTGATTGACTCAACAGGGATTACTGTCTATTTGAGACACAAGAAAGGCAGAGGAACACCATGGAAAGCTAAGAATGTTTTCCTAAGTATGTTGGAAACCATGGCAGAGATGGGTTCTATAGTCAATGAGCAAGATTTCGCACTGTTTTGCTGCCAGATTAATAGAAATAGTTTTTTTTTGGGGGGGGGGGAATAGGGTTTTTTGTTTTTCTTGTTTTGCAGGACTGGAGATTGAACCCAGGTAACATGCATGCAAGGAACTACTTTCACTGAGTCACATCCCTGCTAGGCCATGGCCATTTGTGATTAACTCTGCTCATCACCAGGAAAACTAAGGAGGCCTGAATAAATATTATTCAGATTCTGCTAGCACTTAGTGAGATATTGAGTACTAAGAATTTTTACATGACATCTCTTTTCATTCTAAGGAGAACTAGTGATTCTCTTAACAGTTAGTGAGATATTGAGTACCAAAAAATTTTACATGCCATCTCTTTTCGTTCTCATGGAGAACACAGGCACAATTTTTTTTGATGCAAATAAAAAGCATTAAATCCAGAGATTGGCTGGAGAGATAGATGGTAGAGGGACTACCTGGCTTATGGACAATCTACATTCAATCCCAAGCACCACATATAATTTCCTGAACACCACCAGGAGTGATCCCTGAGCACAGAACCAGGAGTAGCCCATGAACATTGTTAGGTAAGGCTCAAGATCCCCCTAATCCCAAATTAAATTCCAAGACATTAACTGGTGAGAACCTAGATACAAAGTCATATGTATCAGCCAGGTCTGATTTTGAGGGGGGGATATGGGGGCACACCTGGCAAAATTCTTAGGGACCACTCCTGGTGGTGCTAAGGAGACCATATGCAGTGCAAGGGATCAAACTGGGGCCTGAACCATGAAAGGCAAGTAAGTGCCTTAAACCCTTTTACAATCTCTCTAGCCCCTAGCCATATCTGCTTTTACTAGTATATTTATTATTGCCTCCTATGCTACTAAAGACATGTAGGACCTGGAGAGTAGAGTTAAAATGCAGACACACCAAAGTTTAAAATGAAATAGTATACAGAAGATCCAGTTCAGTTTTTAAACTTTATCAATAAAGAAGTCAGACTTCAAGACATTTCCAAATCATACAACTATTGCTTATTGGAGGAATAACTGGCGCCCAGTGCTTCTGGGGACTCCAGAAGGAAAAATTCTTATTTCAATCCTTTTCAGATGCTATAACAAAAATACCATAGAAAAGGATTGGCTTAAGAACAGAATTTTATTTCTCATAGTTCTGGGTGTAGAAGTCCAAGATCCAGTCCAGGTTTTGGCAATAGACCCTCTTCTGTATCTTGGTGGAGTATCCCATAACACACACACACACACACACACACACACTCACACACCACCACCACCACCACCACCATCATCACCACCACCACTATCATCATTATCATCATCTTTTTCTTGTCTCTACTTATAAAGATATAAACCATTCATTACGGCACCCCTGTTCATGACCCACAATTACATTGGGGACTGGGACTTCAGCACATGAATTGGTGTTTGTGGGGGCTGGGATGAAGAGGAAGTATTAGGTTCATAGCAGATTCTGAATGTATTTGTTATCTCTGCTAACACTGAAAAGAGAGGAGGTTTAAATTTTCATAATTATAAAATCCTCACTAGTGTTTTGAATGGGGCTGGAGCGATAGCACAGCGGTAGGGTGTTTGCCTTGCATGCAGCCAACATGGCCGACCCGAGTTTGATTCCTCTGCCCCTCTCGGAGAGCCCGGCAAGCTACCGAGAGTATCTCGCCCGCACAGCAGAGCCTGGCAAGCTCCCCGTGGCGTATTAGATATGCCAAATACAGTAACAACAAAGTCTCCAATGGAGACGTTACTGGGCCCGCTCGAGCAAATCGACGAACAACGGAAGGGCCTTTACCTTTACCTTTATGTGTGTTTAGAAACTATTTCAGAAGTTTGATCCTTGGTAAGTATTGAACTACTGTCAACGACCTCACAAGACAATGTTCTAGTAACTCTTGCCTTTTGAGAGAAGTGAATTGGCCTCAGTTGGTTAAAGCAGCCAGAAGTGTCTAAGCTTCCTGGGAAGCTTGACCATGAGACTCACCTTAGAGGACTTACTTCATCAACCTCTTTCTCTTTCATTGTTTTGGTTTTGGGGTCATACCTGGTAGTACTTAGGGCTTACTCCTGGCTCTCTGTTCAGGGGTCATTCCTGCCAGTGCTGAGTATCAAACAGGGCTGTTCATGTACAAGGCCAGGGACTTAATCCCTATACTATATCTCTGGTTGTGATGCAAAAAAAAAAAAAGTGATTTTTCTGTGCTGGGAATAGAATCCAAGGCCTCACACATGCAAGGCAAGTACTCTATCACTGAGCCACATATCCAATTCATAAGGAATCTTTTTTGGGGGGGATGGGAGTGTTTCTGGGTCACATCTAGCAATGCTCAGGGGTTATTCATGACTCTGCACTCAAGAAGTACTCCTGGAGGTGCTAGGGAACCATAAGGGGTGCTGGGAATCAAACCCAGGTTGACTGCATGCAAGGCAAATGACTTACCAGTAAGTACTATCTCTCTGGCCCCAGCTCATGAGGAATCTTAAGCACGAAAACTTGGGTAGAAGCAGAAGACAGTCATAAAGATTGGGTCAGCCATTCCCAAGTGAAATAACTTTCTGAGAAAAATCTGACTAACAGAATGGATGATGCTGGTTTTTTTTTTTTTTACAATTGTAAAGGAAAAAAACTGTACCCAGTGCACAACATAGAAGAACCTATATAAAATACACATTGATTTTTGCTGCTCATTTTATGTCTCAGTCGACCTGGACCAGAACAACAACAAACTAAAAAATGAAAGCAATGTTTATCAAAGAATCTGTAGGTCACTAAAATTAAAATCATGTAGGGTCCTTGGAAATGTTGCAATACAAATTCCTGGACAGAGAGTTAGTGCTTGCTTTTTATGCCCCCTTCACCTTGCCCTGTTCAATTCACAAGCACCACCAGGAGCACACCCTGAGCACAAAGCCAGAAGTACCGTCTTATGAGCAATTCCAGATTTGGCCAAAGAAATAAATGAACAAAAGTTACTAGAATATCCATTTAGAACTATGTGTCATATAGGGTGAATTCTCAAAACTGCCTCTTTTTTTTTTCCTTTCGGGTCACACCCAGCGATGCATAGGGGTTACTCCTGGCTCACGCTCTCAGGAATTACTCCCCGCGGTGCTCTGGGGACCATATGGGATGCTGGGAATCTAACCCGGGTCTGCCGCATGCAAGGCAAATTCCCTACCTGCTGTACTATCTATCACTCCAGCCCCTCAAAACTGCATTTTATTTTATTTTGCTTTTTGGGTCACACCTGGCGATGCACAGGTGTTACTCCCGGCTCTGCACTCAGGAATTACCCCTGGCGGTGCTCAGGGGACCATATGGGCTGCTGGGAATTGAACCTGGGTCTGCCGCGTGCAAGGCAAACGCCCTACCCACTGTGCTATCACTCAAGCCCCCAAAACTGCATTTTAAATTTATTTTTGAGGTATAAAGCACATTTCAACATGTGATATCTTTTCTATAGTTTAGTAACATGCTTATAATATTATAAACAGCTTTAGTTCTTATGTACAATGTCGCATTTTAAATGCACACCATGATATTCTGATGCAGGTCAGTTTGGTCTGGCCAAAATTTGGGGTTGCCCCAAATTTTTAGGATGGTGGGGCTGCAAAAGTGCATGGCAGTTTGCAAAGCTCTGGGTCTCCTTCTGCTTCTCCCTCTTACAGTTCACCGAGCAGCCCTGGCCTGCGGCAGTGAGTTCTTTGGGGCCATGCTCCTGAGCGGAATGAAGGAATCCCAGGGCACAAAGGTATCTCTGCACACCATCTCCGCCCAGGACCTGCGACTGCTCGTCTCTTTTGCCTACTCTGGGGTTGTGCGGGCAAAATGGCCAGGACTGCTGAGAGCTGCCCAGGCTGCTCTCCTGTACCAGAGCTCTTCCTGCCTGGCTCTGTGCCAGAATGCCCTGGCCCAGGGTCTCAACCCAGCCCGTTGCCTGGTCCTGTTCCCCATGGCCGACGCCCCGGGCTTGGAGAGACTCTGGAGCAAAGCCCGTCACTACCTCCTCACTCACCTGCCTGCTGTGACTCTGTGCCCCTCTTTCCCTTCTCTACCTGCTGCCTGCCTGGCCGAGCTCCTGGACAGCGATGAGCTCCACGTGCAGGAAGAGTTTGAAGCCTTCATGGCTGCACGTGTCTGGCTGGCTGCCCACCCTGAGATGCCAGAGTCAGAGGCCAGGGCCCTGCTTCACTGCGTCCGCTTTGGCCGTATGTCTACCAGGGAGCTGCGGAAGGTGCGGACCACCGGACTGCCTCCACCGCTGTCTGCAGACTTGCTGCACCAGCTGATAGTGGAGGCTGAGATCCCCGGCCGGGCGAGGCGAAGGGAGCCCGACCAGGCTCTGATAGTGATTGGTGGGGACGGGCTCCGGGCTGATATGGCCGTGAGGCAGCCGTCCCGGAAAGTGTGGTGGGCTCGGGCCTTCTGCTGCGGCACAGGCCTGGTGCGCACGGTGGAGTGGGGACGGCTGCCCACGCTGCCCGCCCCGGGGCGCTTCCGGCACGGGGCTGCGAGCCTGACCGGAAATGAACTGTACGTGTGCGGGGGACAAGATTTCTACTGCAACTCCAGCACCCTGGCCTCGACTCTCAGGTACAACCCTTCCCGGAGTGTGACATGCCCCAAGGGGAGAAGCTCAGGAAACTATTCCGTTTACCTCAGCACCCCAGGGTCAACTCTCCTCATCTCTTGTCTCTCTGTGTGTCCAGGTGGGACCCCAGTCAAGAGGACTGGGAGGAGATGGCCCCATTGTGCCAGGCTCGCTGCTTTTTCCCACTGGTGGCACTGGATGGGCTTCTGTATGCCCTGGGTGGACGAGACAATGGTGTTGCCCTCAACTCTGTAGAGACCTATAACCCAGAGCTCAATGTCTGGAGGTGAGCTGGGGAACAGGGCAGCGAGCAAGGGCCAGGGTCGGGGTGGCAGGTGTTGGGCACGGGGAAGCACTTGGAAGAAAAGGGGCCTTGACAATGATCAACGTCTGCTCATGTGTCCTGTCCTTCCTCAGGCCTGCGCCACCACTTCCGGTGCACTGCTTTGCTCATGCGGCTGCTGTTTTAGATGGACGACTGTACCTGAGTGGCGGCTGTGGCAGAAATGGTCAATTCCTGGGATCCTTGCTTCACTATGATCCCAAACTGGAGAAGCCAGGCACGTTTCTGTGCCCCATGGGAGTCTCTCGGGCTGGACACGTCATGGCTGCTCTAGGGGGTCGGTTGTATGTGGCAGGGGGCCTCGATGAGACTGGGGATCTCCTAAGCTTCGAGGCCTACGACCTGAGGACTAACAGCTGGACCCACCTGGCACCTCTGCCCTCGCCCCACGTAGGAGCTGCAGTTGCTGTCCTGCAGGGGGAGCTGCTGGTGCTGGGGGGCTACAGCCACCGTACTTACGCCCTGTCTCACCTGGTCCACGCCTACTGTCCTGGCCTGGGCCGATGGCTCTGCCTGGGAGCGCTGCCCCGGCCCCGGGCCGAGATGCCCGCCTGCCTCCTGAAGCTGCCCATGGTTCAGCACGTAGCTCTCGTTTCCTCCCAGCTCCAATCCAAACCTGCTGGGTGAAGGAGAGCCGCAGAGGAAGGGGGGCAGTAGGGATAAGAAACATCGGCAGAGAACGGAAGTTGGGGGCAGAAAGAGAAGGGCTTATTCACGTAGGAATTTCTTCTTGCACAATGCTTAACAACACATAAGCTGCTTTTGTATCTGTGGCCTTCATGGAGGAAAAGGTGTTTTAGAGCCTTGAGGAAAGGGTGTTGGGGAAGGGATGACAGCTGAACAGTGAGGTTAAAAGAGGCTGCCCCAAAACAACTCGATAAGGCTTAGGAAATCTGGCATGATTCTTTGTCCGAAAGAGCATCTGGCTGGGAAAGGTGATCAAGAAATTCCAGGGGCCAAGGTAGGGGTTCATGAGCAGACAGTTGGGAAAAGGATGATTCTGACCCAAGAATTAAGGACGAAAACATGGAGATCATCTCTGCAGGAGTTTAAGAAGTGAGAGGAAGGACTGTAATGCACAACTATGCCTTTACCAGGATTTGTTCCTGTCTGTTTCCTGTTCATTGAGACATATAACACTCTTGACAATATTCTTCCATATTCATTATTATTATTTTTTGAATGAGGGGTCCTCCTCAGTGATGCTGGAGGCCACCAGGGTTATTTCTGGCAGTGCTCAGGAAGCCATGTGATGCCAGGGAATCTGGGTCCCTGGCAATTGCCAGACACTAGCTCCAGCCCTTTGAATGATCTCATTGGTCAATTAATACTATCCTTTCTCAGGTAACTTATAGGCCTAGCCTCTCAATTCCCAACTCAGACACCACAGGCTACCCCTAAGAGCTTCTGAGTTTTCAGTCAGAGACAGGAATTCCTGTTTGGAAATGGCATAGCACCAGGGCCTGAGGTGTCAGAGTGATAGGGAAAGAATGCTGTATGTGAGGAAGAGGAGGAGGCAGAACAAAGGGGAAAGGCATCCATGTTGGAAATGGGGTGTTATGAGGCCATTCTAATGGAATGAAAGCAATCAAAAGCCTGACTGGTTCATGTCTTCCTTTTGGAGCGAATTCAGTGACAAAGAGTGAAAACAGGGCGGTTGTGGAGTGAGGATCTTTGAAGATCAGAGAAAACAAAAGAAATGGCTCAAAGGGCTGGAACACAAGCAGAAGGCCTGGGTTCCATCCTCAGTGCGACACGGTTCCCTAAACACCACAAATATTAGAATACTGAGTCCTGCTAGGTGTCAGCTAAAAAAGAAGGAAAGAAAAAAAAAGAGAGAAAATAAGATGTGGCAGAGGAAAGAGTGAGAGGCAGAGAAGAACAAGAAAAAGTCATGTTTATCTTTCCCCTTCTGTCACTTTCAGTTTTTTAAATCCATTTCCCTTTTTCTTGGCCGTGGAAGGGTGAGTCATATACTTTCTCTCTTCTGCCACTCTGTTCTTCCTTTTTTCAAGTTCTCATTTCCTTTCTTCCAGTTATTAATTACCTGCTCTGTACCATACACTATCAGAGACACTCATGAGAAAAAGGTCAGCGAGCACTTGACCAGCTGACTGATTTGGAAATAAATGTATTTTGTGGTGGATGTGAGTTATGGACAAAGTGCTGTGAGGGTTCAGAGGGCAAGGAGTGAACTCTGTGCAGGGAAGGATTCTGGAAGAGAAGAAATCTCCATATGGGAATGGAAGCACACACCAAGATCATGTGGGTTCATTTCCAGACCACTATAGGAAAGCGAATATCATCACAATCAAGTGGCTCAATTTTTTTCCTCAAAGAATATATAAAAAAAAAATGCTTTCCCTGGACTCTTCGTCTGTTAAGTGAAATAATATTATATTTAAAGAAATGATGTCCATAGCTTCATTAAACATGATGGAGACCCCAAACAGTTCATTTTGCTGGGGAAAATGGCTCAATAGAACACGAAGTTGCTGCAACCTTTTAACTGGGAGATGAACTAAATCTGAAGGGCAAACAAGGAGGTTTGAAGTGGAGTTTGAACTGGATATGAAGACTGTCCAGAAAGCTACTTGTCTGTGATGGAAAAAGGACTTCTGGTCAGAGAAAAGAAGCAAGTGGGAGTGACAGGTGGTGGAGGCAGGCATGTAGTCCAGCTCAGGGAAGTCTGCATTGCAGCTCCTGGCTATACAAGGCTCCTCTCTGGAGTGTATCTGAAGACAGTAGCTTTCACTTAGCAGCTGTGCCTTCCCTCCTTCCAATCCCAACTCCACTAGATTTTTTTCTGTCTTTATTTCCATTTCCCACTCCTGAACAGCTCAGGGCAAAGCAAGGTCAGTTCTTTATACAGGTTAATTATGTATTACTATTGTTCACTAAGATTCTCACGCTTGCTCCTAAGAGTGAGATGGAGCCTTTCTTGCATCTTTATTCTGATACCACTTTTGGTTGCTCTGGTTTTTAGATTTCTTTCTTCTACTAAAGATTTTTTTCTCTGTATTTCTGTTTAGAAACATAGTTGAAAATGAGGGACTCATAGTATCTATACGAGAAAAGAGGAAGAAGACTGAAGAAAGGGAGAAGGAAGTTAGAGATTGGCTTTGAGTCTTTAGTGTAACCTAGTCTTTGTGATTTGTTACTCAAGACAGGCTTGAATAAAGGTTTCATCATTATTTAAACATTCTTTTAGAGTTTCTCTACAAAAAATAAACCGCAAAAAACTTCTCAAATCCCAGGAAGTGTTGCTTCTGTTTCCACTTCAGCCTCCACTGTCACCTTTACTGCGCCACATCATGGAAGGCCATCCTCGTTCTGCCTCATGTTTCTGCAGGAACTGATTGGTTTGAAAAATGCCTCTAACCCTCAATATTTCTCCTCTACTCTTCCAGAGAAGCATGTTCTTCATGAGCCTAGCGTCTTTAATCCATGAGGTAAGAGGCAAATTACCATGTCTAAGAGGGTGTGACTCCATCCCAGGTAGAATGGAGAGTCAAAAGTCCAAAAGTATGCAGATGGGGACCTAAGTTGCAGAAATCTTTAGCTTTATTTTCTTTCTAACTCAATTTAAAAATAATAAAATAATAAGGATGGGGTGGGGCTGGAGAGATAGAACAGCAGGTGAGGCACTTGCCTTGCATATGGCCAACCTGTGTGTGTTCAATTCCTAGCATCACATATGGTCCCCAGAGCATCTCAAGAGTGATTACTCAGCACAGAGCCAGGAGCAAGCCCTGAGCATAGCTGAGTGTGGACCAAACACCTCTCTTCAAAGTAAAAATAATAAAAATATGGAGTGAGAAAAGAAGAGGGCATCACTAATTTAAAAACAGAAAAATCGTCAATGAACTGTTCATTAGATAAAAGCCAGGTAAGAGGTTGGAGCCTTCTCCATGTGGGCTGTGATTCAGGTTGCCCTTCCCTGTTCAAAGTCTATTCGCAGTACAAGGTTCTTCTCCATTTGTTGTTTGTGTCTTAGTGGACTACAGCATATCTCACCATCTGCCATGAGGCTTCTGTTTCACATGTCATATACCACCTTTCATATTTGACAGGGGAATGTGATGTTTGTTGAGTCAAAGTGGGGGAGGACAAGAAGTGTTCAGTGAAACACAGGGAGGTGGGCACTTTTCCTAGGTGGTAGAGTCCTTAAGGGCTTACAAAGGCTAAGGGGACGGCACAGTAACAACAAAGTAACAACACTCCCAAGGGAATCACTCTGGCACTACGCTCATCAGTTGATGATTCCTCTGGTCAATAATTAGGGCTGTGAGCAGTATACAGAAGAGAAAGTCATTTCCTAACAACTTGGAGACAGTGGAAATGAGACAGCTTGATGAGAGTCAACCAGTGAAGAATAGAATCAAGTCTAAAGCCCTGGTCGCATTATTTTATTGTCAAATTTTACCGATTTAATTGATGATAGTGATCTGGAGAAAGCTTGATTCAACACCAGGGAGTGGCTAGCTTAGCAAAACAGGATATAACAGAACAAGCACGGCTATATGCCTTCAGCACTGCCCATGAGGAAGAAAAGCTGCAGTTGACTTTGTAAACATTTGTGTGAAATATTTTCTCTGTTGCAGTGATAGTTTATCTTACTCCCTCAAAATCCAACCCAACCATCTTCTAGGGTCAGTCAGTGGTTCTCTGGTAAAAACAGCAGTTTTGAGAATTGGGTCAGCCTGCCCTTTATAAGGGCTTCTTTTATGTGTTTTTATCATTGGGGGCCACACTTTGTGGTTCCAGACACATGGGACCATTCCAATATAGTAATTTTCAAAATGGAATGCTCAGATCAGTGAGCAGAATCATCATTATTTGAGAACATTCTAGAAATGCACAGCGGGTAGGGCATTTGCCTTGCATGCGGCCGACCCTGTTGACCCGAGTTCGATTCCTTCGTCCCTCTCGGAGAGACTGGCAAGCTACCAAAAGTATCTTGCTCGCATGGCAAAGCCTGGCAAGCTACCCGTGACATATTCGATATGCTAAACACAGTAACAACAAAGTCTCACAATGGAGACGTTACTGGGTCCGCTCGAGCAAATTGATGAACAACGGAGGACAGTGACAGTGACAGTGCTAGAAATGTATCCCCTTTGCCCCCAAGCACTAGTTGGGAACATTCACCTAAAGTAAAATAAACATTTTGAAGCTTTAAGAAAAACCCAAGTACTGATACCTGGGTCCAACTCTGGAAATTGTGATTTAATTTTGATTTTTTTAAATGTTTTGCTTTTTGGGTCCCACCCGGCAATGCACAGGGGTTACTCCTGGCTCTGAACTCAGAAATTACCCCTGGCGGTGCTCAGGGGACCATATAGGATGCTGGGAATCGAACCCAGGTTGGCCGCATGCAAGGCAAATGCTCTACCTGCTGTACTATCGCTCCACCCCCAGATTGTGATTTAATTGAACTGGGTATGACTTGGGTTTTAGAAAACTTTTACTGTTATTTTTGCTAGTTTGGAGGCCACATCCAGCAATGCTCAGGGACTACTCCTGTCCTTGTGCTGAGGAATAACTCTAATTGGTGCTTGGGAAAATTATATGCAGTGTCGGGATCAAACCAGGATTGACTGGATGCAAAGCAAGCAAGCACCTTAACCTCTGGACTCTTTCTCTCTTTCTCTGGCTCCTGGAAAAAAAATTAAAGATCTCTAGGTGCTCCAAAATGTGCAGGCCTTGATGGGCTTAATTATATTTTTTCTACTATGACTGACTAGAGTGTGAACTCAAGATTCTCCTGGCCATTCAGGAAGCCATGGCAGTCTTTGCTGCAGTAAGTATCCTGAGATCAGAAGCTTCACTGCTCTTTGGACTCCACTTACATACCCTGTTCTTCACGGATGGGCAGATAACTACCACAGAGGGCAAGCACAGAGGGCCCTGAGGTTGGCACAGTTCAAGGGAGGAGGCCACATAGATTTAGGAAAGATCCAGGTGAATTTCCTCCTCCTTTTTCTTATGCTGTTCCCACTGTCTCCTTACACAATCTTTTTCATGTTTCCTAGTCATTTCTCATTTTCTTCCCTCCCCCTTTGGCTAGACTTCCAACAGTGGTTCTCTTTGTGGGTGGTACTATCGCCTAGTGGTGATTCATACATTTGTGGAGGCTGTGTGTGTGTGTGTGTGTGTGCACAGAGAGAAGATAACTTGCTCACATGGAGTATAAAAATCAAAATAAGGTATTAGACAATCCCCAATGAAAAGAATTCTGAGATAATGTCAGTAAAATTGTGATCTGAGAAATGAATTGTGAGTGCTGGGGTTGGGGCATGAGGGAAAAGGGAACTTGAAATAATGGTGGAGGGCTCCTGGCACTCTGGTGGTAGGTCTGGTGTTGCACCACTACAAATACAAACAATAGTGACATTGGTACACCTGTAATATATATATATATATATATATATATATATATATATATTTGGGCCCTCCCATTGATCGTCGATTTGCTCGAGCGGGCCCAGTAACGTCTCCATTGGAGACTTTGTTGTTACTGTGTCTGGCATATCGAATACTCTCGGTAGCTTGCCGGGCTCTCCGAGATATACCACTCCCCTATAAACAAATGAGAAAGAACACTGCTGAGTGCCTAGTGTGTACCAGTGGCTTTGCCATGTGCTGTGTCATGTCACTCTGTCATCTCTCCTGTGTTCCCAACCTCCTGTTGAGCTGGGGTCACTCTCCCCTACTTTTCAGTGAGAAGTCACTTCACGCGGGGTGCAAGAGCTAATTTTGCCCTAATCTTGTGGTCACAGATAAGTGCTAGGATTTCTAGAGAGTCACTCATGCCAAAAAAAAACAAAACCCATAGATAGTATTTTATAAATAAACCACTTCCCTTCTACTACTTATTTGTGTCTTTTTAGATAATATATATATATATATAATTGTACATGTAGGTAAATTAAATTTTAAGTTGTAACTCAGGACTATAAAGAGGATATGAAAATGTTATTGAAATAGTGTTGGGGTCAGAGAGATAGTACAGTGGTAGGACACTTTCCTTGCTTTTGGCCTACTTAGGTTCCACACCCGGCACCCTCTGTGGTCCTCTGAACCCTGCCAGGAGAGATCCCTGAGCACAGGGCTAGGAGTAAGCCCTGAGTACTGCCCGGCCTG